CGCAGAGGAGAGTGGCAGACCGGTGAGTGTGTGTGTGTGTGTGTGTGTGTGTGTGTGTGTGTGTGTGTGTGTGTGTGTGTGTGTGTGTGTGTGTGTGTGTGTGTGTGTGTGTGTTGACGTCCTGATGGATAACGCGGTGTGTGTTCTGCAGGAAGTGGAACGTGCAGACAGAGAGTCGGATGAGGACATGGCTCGCCTGGTGGCCGACCTTCAGAAGAGGATGGAGCGCACAGAGGTCAGGAGGCGTTCACTGACCGCTGGGAAAACACAGATTACCTGTTAGAAAACACAGATTACCTGTTAGAAAACACAGATTACCTGTTAGAAAACACAGATTACCTGTTAGAAAACAGAGATTACCTGTTAGAAAACACAGATTACCCGTTAGAAAACACAGATTGTTAGAAAACACAGATTACCTGTTAGAAAACACAGATTACCTGTTAGAAAACACAGATTACCTGTTAGAAAACACAGATTACCTGTTAGAAAACACAAATAAAATGTATTCTTCATCACACTGAGGATATTTTAAACTGGTCTCCAGACACATTTTATTTGATGCAGAACAATTAAAAACCTTGAGAATGTAAATTCTACGACATTAACGGTTAAATATTAAATAATGATGGATCCAAGTAGAGGGATAATATTTAAAGAGGTCCCTATATAGTTTATGGGATAGTAGTAAAAATAGTATAAATCGATCACAGATTTCTAAGAAAAAACTATAAATAATCTCTGTGATTGGAATGTGAGATAAATAATAATAATAACTAAATCAGAAATATAGGACACGTTTAAGCAATTCTTGCAAAAAGATCAAACTGAAATAATTGAATCAAATTGATAAATAAACCGACATGCACACTTAATCTATCCATTCATACACACATGCTCACCGTGCAACTCAATCTAAAAATGTCTCTACAATAACGTGTGTTTTCTCCGCTGCAGCCGGTGACGGTGATGAAGGACATCTCAGATCAGTGCATCTTCACCCAAAAGGAGGCGCTGTTCGAGTGCGAGGTGAAGATCAACTACCCCGAGATCGCGCTGTCCTGGTACAAGGGAACGCAGAAACTGGACTCCAGCGACAAGTACGACATCAGCATCAGCGGAGACCGTCACCTGCTGAAGATCAAGAACTGCCAGCCCGCCGACCAGGGGAACTACCGGGTCGTCTGCGGGCCGCACATCTCCAGCGCCAAGCTGGCCGTCGCCGGTCAGTACTCAGATACTCAGAGACTCAGAGACTCAGAGACTCAGAGACTCAGACACTCAGATACTCAGAAACTTAGAGACTCAGATACTCAGAGACTCAGAGACTCAGACACTCAGACACTCAGAGACTCAGAGACTCAGAGACTCAGACACTCAGAGACTCAGAGACTCAGACACTCAGAGACTCAGAGACTCAGACACTCAGAGACTAAGACACTCAGAGACTCAGACACTAAGATACTCAGATACTAAGATACTCAGATACTCAGATACTGAGAGACTCAGATACTCAGACACTCAGCGCATAAATACTCTAAACCAGTAACAGTCCTGCAAGAAAAGTGCAACGAATACGCATTAATCGGAGGAAAAGTCAAAAATTCCAATCATAGAAAAAATATTGAAATTCTGAGAAAAAAGTCAAAATTCTGTGAAAAAAGTCAAAAACGAGAAAAAGTCAACATTCTGAAAAAAAGTTTAATTCTGAGAAAAAATTCATAAATCTGATAAATAATCTAAATTCTGAAAAAAATCTAAATCTGTGAAAAAAAATCAAAATTATGAGAAAAACTTAAAAAAAAAGACAAATAGTCAGAAATCTGAGGAAAAAAATGGACAAATCAAAAAATCGAAAATAAGTACAATTATGAGAAAAAAGTCAAAAATCTAAAAAATTGATTAAAAAGTCAAATCTGAGGAAAAGTCAACATTTTTAGAAAAAACTCGATTCGGAGGAGAAATTCAAATCCTAGAAAAAAGATTGAAAATCTGATAAAAAATATAAATTGTGAGGAAATGCTCTTTCTACCTTTCACAATAAAAGCGTGGCCTCGTCTGTGTCATTCACTCTGCCTCTAAACACAACCAAAGTGCTCAGTCAGCTGAAGGCTGCAGCGTCGTGATTAAAGCTTTAAAAATGTGTTGTAAGAGTTTGACTTGTCAGCATGTTTTCTCACGCTGTGTTTCTCTGCTGTGTGTTGCAGAGGCGGAGGTGGAGAAGCACCTGCAGGAGACCGCGGGTAAGGAAGGCCAGTCATGCTCGCTGTCTTGCCAGTTGTCCATCCCTAATGTAGAAGCTCAGTGGTTTAAAAACGGGAAGCGTTTAGAGATGAAGGGCAGGTACACGTCGGAGGTGAAGCACAAGGTTCAGAAGCTTCTGATCCAAGACCTGAAGACCCAAGACCAGGGCCGGTACTCCTGCAGGTACCAGACCCTGGAGTCCTCGGCCGACCTGTGGGTGGAAGGTTTGTACAGGAACCGTCCTGCTAGCGTCTTCACTAACCTCTTCAGACCCCCCCCATCTGAGACTAACGCCCAACTCTTTTTTCTCTCTTTCTTCTGGGATTCCCTCCTTCTGTCTTAACTCCTCACGCTCTGGATTATCTCGCAAAAAACAAACCGTCCCGCCATCATCTCATTCCGTTGTCTTCTTACGACTGAAATCCATCAAACCCCCCCCCCCCAAACATCCAGCCATCATCAGCAGGGATGCACCGATCTGGGTTCTGCATTGTATTGTGTGGAAGAGAGGTTATCTTTCGGAACGTCGGATAGTGCTGCATCACCAACTTCATAGAAATGGCGATCAGGCTTTTAGATTCCCAGTTCGATTGAACGAGATCACGAAGTTTAAAATGCTCTGCTCAGAGAAATACTGCAGCATACCAGATCCAGCCCTTCCTAAACAGCTGACCACCAGGGGGCGCTGCAGGTGTTTGGCTTTATCTGTGTGGTCAAAACTCTCCTTAATGTTGCAGCTGCGGTCCAGATGATATGCTGTCTATTAAAGATATTAACAGTCAGTCGAAGAAGCGTTTTATTAGATAAACAATTGACCCGTCGTATTAGTTTTGCCAGATATCCTTGAAAGCAAACGGTCGTTGTCCCGAGGGCACATTACTCTGAACTTGGAGTAGTCTGAAACATGTTCCATTAGTCTATTGCCCATTATTATCCCTATGTGTCTGAAAAAGGCATCGATACCTGGTTTTCGCCAAATAATCTTCCATTTCCTTGTTCCTTGCTCCATGTTCCAAACCCCTCCTGGTCCCATTGTTCCAAACCCCTCCTGGTCCCATTGTTCCAAACCCCTCCTGGTCCCATTGTTCCAAACCCCTCCTGGTCCCATTGTTCCAAACCCCTCCTGGTCCCATTACCAAAAGCCGACTTCTCTTAAAACTGCTTCCGAACTTTGTAAAACAAAACATAACAAATAGTGAAATCCTTTTTAAGTGCAAATACAAATAGGTCAAAACATAAACAGGAATTCAAGCACTACGGAGAACACAAAAACCAGAAAGGTGTCGATGCACTCTCCTTGCAAAGAGTGACAAACAGTCATTTTGGTGGCTATTTGAGATCGAAACTCTAAACACAGAGACATCGTTTAAAAGCATCCGACACACTTTTTATTCGGTGACGGCCCCAGATGTTGCCTGGCTCGGTGGTGTGTGTCGGTGTTGCAGGTGTACAGGTGTTCCTCAGACGTAGTACAGGTGTAATCAGTGGTAAAGGTAGATCGTCCCGAACAGCACGGATCCAGCTCGTTAATCGGATCGGTGCACCCCTCACCTCGCCCTCTGATCATCATCTCTAACCGTGTGGATGTTGTGTCGATAAAAAACAAAAACAACTACCATTCAAGTGTTGTCTTACTTTCCTGGTTGTGATGCCAAACCCGTTTACCCATTCCCGTCTTTATCTGTTTTAGCTGAACAAATTCATTTCACCAAACGCATCCACAACATCGAAGTCAACGAGCGCCAGTCGGCCACCTTTGAGTGCGAGGTGTCCTTCGACAACGCAATCGTTTCGTGGTACAAAGACACCTGGGAACTGCGAGAGAGCCCGAAGTACAACTTCACAAGCGAGGGCCGAAGACATTTCATGGTCATCCGAAACGTGGCCACCGAAGACGAAGGTGTGTAGAGCGCCACGAGACCCGACACAGAGCCCACAGAGTTTTTTTTACCTCATTGTTTTGATGCCTTGAGTGTTAAACGTCTTCATTAATAATCCCGTGTAGGCGTGTACTCAGTGATTGTGAGGTTGGAGCCCCGAGGAGAGGCTAAGAGCACTGCTGAGCTTTATTTGTCTGGCAAAGGTACAGTCAGACGCCGCCATCTTTCTCTGTTTCTGCTCAGCTCCGGTCTGGTGCAGCCTTTAACACGTTGTTCACTCTTCCCCCCTCTTTCACAGAAATTGAATTAGCAATGGCGCCCATGGGTAAGTCATTCTTTTATTCAACAACTTAAATCTATGAGCGACATTGACGGTGAATCCTCTTGTTCTCTGATCCGTTTCATCCCTGTAGACATGTTAGCCTAGCTCCGAACAAAGAGTGGACATTTGGGAAAGCTGCCATCCAGCGACAAATAGCTAGCATCATCTTGGGACAACCCATTATTCCAATATCCCAATAGACTGAAATCTCCAACTATAGCGAAAGCCGACTGTCCAACAACATGTTGTCCTGAAAACCAACCAGTCGCTGCTCCAAAGGCCCACCGTTCAGGAAACACACCCTCCCTGCAACGAGTGTGTGGTTTCAGAGCAACGGCCCGTTGTTTGGGATAACGTGCTGTTCTCCAAATGGTTTGGACTATGGGGTTTCAGGGTTAATGTGCACAGCTATTGAACCTTACGGACATTTCAGTCTTTGGTTAAGCGGCAGTACACTAGCAGTTTGAAGTTTTGATTTTACCTTTATTTATCATCAACATCCCAAACATGTTGGGAAACAAGAGGATTTTCCAAAATGTCTAACCGTTCCTTAAATAGAGAACAGTTACCATCAGTGTTGTTCTTCTGTACACAGAGTGCGTTTAGCTTCTTTTAAATACAGCTTGGTTATAAAACCATGTTCCATATTCTTTAGATGTCCCAGACTCCTCAGTTCAGAGGCCTGAAGTGCCTTCATCCGTGGCAATTCAAGGTAAGACTTCAAAACCAACCAACAGAAAACCATTTCTAACATTTAACCAGAGTTTAAAGAAAGTTCCAGAAAACTGAGAATCTTTCTGAGTCTCCTACTAAACTCTTTAATATCTCAATTAACGCATGTGTTCTTTTACCTTTAAAGAAACTTCTGAATTCTATCAATATGAAGAAGAGTTTGAACAAAAACAAGGTATTTATTATGTCTTTGCTCACAAAGGAACTTTGAATGAATAATCTTATCAATAGATCTTGATTACAGATCAGATTTAACACACTTAGCTCTGTTCTTCTCCCTCACTGACGATCAAACTAATCCAGATATTAAACGTTTGTTTGTTTAAGAATATTCGTATCACTATGAAGAAGAGGTGCAGGTGCAGCAGAGAGGTACACCATGTTGTATTTCCTCATCTTCATCATCTTCATCCTCCATTAAAACAACCGAGCAGATCTGGGAAAACAAGATCAATAATCTGATCAGAAACAACCTGAATAATAACGTTTGTGTATATCTGCATAAATAATATAGCATTCAATAGAAAGTAAAACAAATATGGATAAGTAATAAATATGAAGAGGTTTTGTGAATGTACTTGTTCATCTTTAAATGCACAGTTAATGGCTGTAAGCACATATAACAACATGGACCAATGCACAACAGCACCTGCAGTTTGGTTCCTTTTAATGAGTCATATACCGTAAACAAATATGCGGTATATCTTAACGATAACTAAGAAGTTATTTAAACATTTCTGATCATTCCTAGATCTAGGTCTCAAATTGTGAATTGACCCAAATCTGCCTCTTGCGTTCACCCTAACATCGCCGCCACCGTGTCCTCTGTGTAATACGCTCTTGTTTGTTTGTTTGTTTGTTTGTCTACAAACTTTGAAGATGTGTTTTTATTCTTTCCCTCTTGTAACTTCCACCCCATCTTCCATCTCTCCGTCACACACTCACTAACTTCTCGCCGTTTCACAGAAAAAGTCTTTTCTCTTGTCGATCTGGGATTAAAACTCTTTCAAAGTTATTTTCTGTTTGAATATCTGCTCCCTGATTTGATCAAAGAACATGAAAATAGAGGTACATGTTGGCTTCTGTTGGCGCTATGACAAAATCCATCATGGACATATTCTGAGCTAATCCGTTAGCTGACTGCTAACGGATTAGCATCTGCACTTTGGTTTGTTTTCAGAGTTTAATCTCTTAGTAATCTCTTTAGCGTCTGTTTCTCTTTGAAGCTGTTGAGTCGTTAATACTCTCACTCCCTTTTCAAAATCAACGTTTTTCTAGTCCCATTTAATCAACAAAACGATGACTTTGTGAAACCACTTGTTTGTTTTCGTGCACAAACCTTTCCTCACGTTTGTTGTGTTTTATCACTTCTGTGGTCGTCACACCTTCAGTGGAGATTGAGAGCTGGAGTGAAGAGACGGTAACACAACAGGTGTCCATAGCCACAGGTATCACAGCTGTGTGTGTGTGTGTGTGTGTGTGTGTGTGTGTGTGTGTGTGTGTGTGTGTGTGTGTGTGTGTTCCTCTTGGTTCCTTATTTCAGTCTCAGGTCATGTTTCTGGCTTCTGCTTCCCTTATAAACTCTAATTTCTTACCCACAATGCATTGTAATAATTGCTTTGCATTGTCTAATTGGTTACTGTTTGGATGAACTGTGTATACCTGATTCTTGTTGTATTCAAATGTTAGTATTTAGTTTTCTAACTCAAAGCTCTGATAACCTGCAGCTGCTGTAACACAACCTATCAGCCTGCCTCTCTTTTAATCAACACATAGAAACAATTAGAGTCTTCTTGCTTTACATTACAGAAGGTAATACACACATTTGTTACTGAAATATAGGAGATCAACTCTTTTTGTTAAAGACTAAAGCAGGAAGTACATCCTTCTGACAGTGAGGATGACTCTGGGTTCTCTTTGTGCTTCTTCTAGCTGCCAGAGTCGCAGTTGAGGAGAAAGTAGAGACCAAGAAAGTTGAAATGAGAGAGGGAATCCCATCCAAAGGTAAGCCTGACTTCCTGCTCAGCTCCGCGCTCCAGGAAACCCTCCTCCGTCTGTCGTCCAGCACTAACACCTTGGACTGTTTGTGTTCCTGTCTTCCTCTTTCATTGCTGCTCCACAAAGACCTTCTCTTCTGTAGTTGCTTTGTGCTTTATTATCTTCTGATGCTTCTTTGCTTCACCTGCAAGCGCTCAGCTGCTCTCTTGTGTTGTTAATACAACCGGTGTCTTTTTAAAGTTCCCAAAGCTGAGGAGAAGCCTGAGGAGAAGCCGAGGGCGTCGCTGAAGGAGCCGCCCCCCCCTACAGGTGATTCACGTCTGCCTTCCATACTGGGTTCCTCTGTGTGTGAATGTTGTTTCTTTGTGAATTCTCACCTACATGCACTCACATTTTAAAGTACCTGAAGCCACAAAGCCATTGGAGAAAAAGGTTGCTGCCGTTTCAGAACCAGAGCAGAAGAAAGCCCCCTCTTCCAAAGGTAGAGACGTCTTCCTTTCTAACATCTCTCTCCTGAAAATCTCACTCTTTGCAGACGACACTCGCCTAATGCTTTCTGATTGCTTTCTGTCCCATTGGTCTGGTTTCCTTTGACTCTCTGGTTGATTATGTTTTTAAATGTATCTTAAAAGAAGCAGAGGAGGTTCAGAAGCCTGCTGCTGTGCCCTCACCCCCTGCGGAGAAGCCTGGACTGCCAAAGAAAGGTACTTTGAGACGTCTTCAGTAGCAGCTTATCGTCCTCACCGCTACGTAGCCGCTAACCTCTTCATGTCTGTCTTCCTGTTCGTGCTCTGTAGCCCTTTGTAAACTGTTCCACTCTTTATCACTGTCTCTCTGTTAAGTGTCTGAACTCTTGTTTTGAAGACTCTTCATAACTCTTAAATGCTACCACAACTTTATGCTAACATTAGCTAATGTCTGTCTTGCCCACCTGAAGATGAGCCCAAGCCTCAGGCACCAGCTGAGCCCAAAAAAGTGGCGTCTGCAGCCAAACCTGAGCCTGAGCCTGAGCCCAAGCTCAAACAGAGAGCCGAACCTGAAGCAAAGCTTAAGCCCAAAGCAGAACCTGAAGCCAAACCGGCGGTGAAGGTGGAGCCGGATGCTAAGCCAGGGGCGGTAAAGAAGCCGGCCACCCCCCCCTCCAAAGGTATTTCCTTCTGTGTGTGTGGGTTCATTTGAAAACGTATTGAGTCTAAGTGTGTGTCTGTTTCTCCGTCCTGAGTGTTTACACAGCTCGACTTTATGTGTTTAGCTTCGAGTGTGGAAGCGAATCTTTGACTTTCTGTGTGTCGTGATTGTCGAGTCTAAACTAAATGTTGCTTTAAGTCCCCGAAGAGGCTGCACAACCAGAGCCGGCAAAGGTCAAGCCTGAACCGTTGGTAAAAAAGCCAGAACCAGAGGCTCCAAAAGCCAAACCAGAACCGGAAAAAACAAAACCAGAAGTTCGTAAACCGGAGCCAGAACTGCCCGCTCCAGAACCTGAACCTGCAAAGGTCTCCAAACCTGAACCAGCAGTTAAAAAAGCTGAACCTGAAGTGAAAGTTCCAAAACCAGAACCGAAGCCTGCTCCGAAGGAACCTCCAAAGCAAGGTACACAGCGTCTCTGATTGAGATGTGTCTTAACTCCACCTCCACCTGTAACCCGTCTGGAGTGACTGTCCATGCCTAATGATCCTGTTTGTGTTTGTTCTGAGTAAAACAAACTTCTTCATCATCACCGTAACCCGGCAAACTAAAACCCACACTCTTACCTTCATCTTAAACTCTCTTCGGCTCCTGTTTGTTTAGTCTAACGTCTAACTGTGGTTACGGGGGGGGCTGCACGTCTGGCTTCTTGTCTTGCACTCGATAGAGTGTTTGCATCTTACTAAACTCTTTAGCTTTTCTACATGTAAAGGCTTTTAATGTTTGTAAATTATACTCTTTAAAGTTCCTGTGGAGGAAAAAAGACCTGTGGCTCCAAAAGCAGCAAAGAAACCAGAAGCTGCTGTTGCTCCCAAAGAACAGCCGGCACAGAAAGACAAAGGTACCTTAATGTTCCCGAGCCCAGACTCTGTTCTGGGTCCTTTGAGTCTGGAGTTACGCTCCTCAAGTTTAACAGTGACATGATGAAAACCAAGCTATTGGCACTTTAAGACAATTGACCAACAAAGGGTCGTTTGAGTGAAGTAACTCCTCGTTGTTTTAAAACGATCTTTGTTTGTGCGCCAGCACATTCCAACATTCTTTCTAGTCATGTCTTGTGTTTGTGTCAAACCCTCTTCAAGCTGTGATGCCCAGACCTAAAGAGGTACCTGAAGAGGTCTCTGAGTCAGCCCCTCAGAAGGTGTTTGAACCTGAGAGGCGTCCAGATAAAATACCTGAACCGCCAGGGAGGGCTGAGGTGAAGGAAAAGACCCCTGAGAGGGTCCCAGAGAAGGTGCTGGCCCCCCAGAGGAAAGCAGATGAAATACCAAAGAAGGTTCCAGAGAAACGAGCCGTGGAAAAGGCTCCTCCTGAGACGAAGTCTGTGAAAGTTTCTCAGAAAGTGTCCGAAGAAGAGCGGACTCCTGAGGAAGCTGAACCTGAACGGGTGTCTCAGAAAGGACCAGAGAGGGTCTCTGTAGATAGAACACCTGAGCAGGTGTTTGAAACTAAAGGTACAGCCGAGGCAGACCTCAACTCTTTCTTTAAACACGTCTTCTTCATGCATGAGAACCATTGGCAGCAGCTCACTCCCTGTATGGCCTCTAAATGTACTCTCAAAACTAATGATACCACTTTGACCATTTTCATTTAATAAGATTAATTGACAAAGGCTCTATTTGACCACGATTCAAATGTTTTATTTGTTAAAATGCTGACTATACTTCAAAATGATGTTTTAAACGTATCTTATGTGCATTGGCTACTTTGGCGCCACCTAGTGGTAGGATCAAGTTTCTTTCTCATGAATACATTGAAGGATCAAACTTAGGCTTCAGTTTGATGATATTGAATTCATTATATTCAATATCATGTGCCCTTTGTCTACCAGTAGAGTGTAGCAGGGTTCCTGTGGAGCAAAACATGGAAAGCAACAAAAAAAGGCTTGAATGTTTTTAGGGAAAACTTTGTCCAAAAGAAATCCAGCAATGCAAACCAAGAAAAGTGTTTTAATCACATGTAAGAGATTATAACTGATCTCATTTCACCTTTGAATAAGCTTCGGGTGACTATACTGAATACATATATACAAACCATGAACCGTTTACTTTGTTTTGAGTGTATATCAGATGTAAGGAGTATTTAAATACAAGCTGAGCTGCTGCCACTTCTTTCAAAACCTTTGATTTCAAATGTCTTGCTGTGTTTCGTGTGATTAAATGTACGTTGCTTATTTCCTTTTGTTTGTTAAACGTCTTAATTCTCTTCTTTTAAAATGGTCTTCTACCTTCTCACCGGATTATCTTTAAAAGAAACCAAGAAGATTGTGAAGATCGAACAAGAGAGAAAAGTCTCTCCTGCAGAAAAAGGTACCGACCATCTGAAAACCCGACGGAGTACTTTAACCACTTTAACTCTTGGTGATAATACATTATCACCGAAGAGTTAACCATGTGATTCATCTCTGTGTTCCTAATCCCTGTGTTTTGTTCTCACCTCTTGGCGCCGCCGCATGACGCCTTTTCTTCTTCTACAACTCTTAAAACTCCCAGAAACTGAGCTTCTCGTTAAGATCGAGCGCAGGAGAGCAGCTCAGGAGACTCAGGAAGTTTACCACGTCGAGGAGGAAGCGTGGGAACACCAAGAACACGCCAAAGGCAAAGAGGCTCATCTTGGCGAGACCGTCGAGCCGACATCAAACCTCTTACGTACAGAAAAGTCTGAACTGCGAGGCGGGATATCTGTTACTGACTCTGCAGGGAGGAAAGACACCCGGGCGTCCAGAGTGACACAAACACAAGGAACCATTGTTGTAGTCCAGAAATCTGACCAGGATAGGGAGGGTAGACCTAGAATAGAAACCACAGAAGAAGAGTTCATGATTCAGTCCATCTTGTCTTTAACAGACAGCGAGGCAGTCAGACAAGAAAGAAGGGACATCTCTATACAGGAAACTAGAGTCAAAAGGGGAAGAGAGGTGAGCATTGAAACAGAAAGCAAACAGCGGCAACAGGAAGTCAAGACTACAGTCAAAGAAATAGATCCACCAGTTATTATCAGCACAGCAACTAGAAAACAGACTGAAGCACTTGAAGGAAAGCATTTGATTGAGTTACGACGCGAGATAATATCAGAACTTCCCAAAGAAGATCACAGCAGAAGTGAGGAAATTACAGAACTTACAATTCAAAAGAGGGAAGTCACAGTTGAAGAGAAACGAGTGAGTGTATCTCAGGTAAAGATGGTAGAAGAGGAAACAAGTAAAAAGGTCGTAACGGGAATTAAACCAGGAGTCATTTCCAAAAAAGATGAGACCAGTGCACCAGGAAGAGTCTTGGTAAAGAAACAAGAGAAGCAGAAAACATCTGAGGAGAGGATTAGTCAAAAGAAGGACAGAGGTTCTGAAGACGTGACGCCCGAGGTCAAACCCAAAGTGTCCGTAACAGATATCAAACCTGAGGTCCAAAAGGAGACTGGAGCTGTTTCTGCACGAACTGAAAGAGATTACAAGAGAACAGAGGAACAAACAGTTCCCCGAGGTACAGACAGACCATCGAGCACCATGATCATACTCACATGTTCTTATCTTTGTTCAGGTTTGCTCTTCTTTTGACCTCCATCAGATTGAACCCCATTGTCAAGCTCTCCTTTTACCTTGTTTTAAAGGCTTCTTTTTGATCCCTTCCCTTCTTCCTTTAATGCTCATATCTTGCGTTAAACACAAAACTATTATTCTTTAAAGAACCAGAATTCGAGGCCGAGACGATTCCCACGACCCTTCCTCCTGCTGCTCCGTCTACAGAAGAAGGAAAAAGAGGTACAACATCAACGGCACATTTTCCTGTCAGCTCCTTTTCTTATTACCTCTGTGTTTGTCTCGTTTAACTCCAAATGTTTGTCTTTATTGTTATTTCCCCCCCCTAATCTCTTGGCACCGCTTCATGGTGCTTTCTCTTCAAAACTCTTAAAATCTTCCGTCCTCAAGCGGCAACCAGCGGTCTGTTAAAGGCTGCGGAAAGAGCCGGACGTCAGACGGATTCCATATCAAGAGAAGAGGTTGAAGCACAAGTATATGGCAAGCCTGAAGAAGGCGAGGGTCCTAAATCTTTGCAGGAAGAAGAGGTTTTAAGTGCGATGGAAGAAGTGTCTGAAATAAGTGGTGAAATATCTGTTACTGATGGCTCAAAGAGACGAGCTGTTAAAACAAGAGGCATCCCAACAACTAAAGATAAGCTCAGCATGACAGGAAGTGAGTCTGAGGGGAAAGTTCAGGAGGAGTCTCCTGTCCAAAAACCTGATTCTCTAAAAGCAATAAAAGACATACAAAAAGCTAAAGGTTATAAAGAAGCTCTACATAAAGGTAAACCAGTCAAAGTCAGTCCGATTGAAGGAACAGCCGAGATGAGACGCTCAGTCTCTCCTGGAATAGAAGTCAAAACTCAAGAGAAAGAAACTGAAACTAAAAAACCTAGGATCTTGTCAAAGAGCAGGACTGACGTGGCGCAGAAAGTGAGACGGCAGGCAGCGGTTGAAGACGAGGAAGCTGTAGTTAAAGGACTCCAAGTTAGTTGGCAAGAAAAGATAAAACCAAGACAAGAGCAAACTGAAAAACAGGTCTCCGGTAAGCCGGAAGACACTGGTAGTAAAGAAATAGCTGATCAAATAGGCTTTGAGACGGTAACAACTGAAAAGGATGAAACAAGGGAAGAAATCACTTCTCCTGTTGTTGAGAAAACAAAACAAACAAAATCACTGACAAAACAGGAATCCATTGAGAGAAAGGCGCCTAAAAAGAAAAAAGAACCAATGCGAGCCAGAACTGAAGATACTACCGATAAAGAAATTCATTTGAAACCAATCACATCCAAATCTGAAAAAGGAAAAGAACAAATGTTGTTAGAAACGTCTCAAACTGAAGGAATTCCACTTAAATCTGAAGAGGTTACAGTTAAATTCAGAGACAACCAAACTGATAAAGTTACAGATACATTTAGTCCTGAGGCCTTTCCTCACAAACAGAGA